ATTAGGGGAAAGAGTGATTGAATGAAAATTAAGAAAAGAGACTCAAGTTACTGAGAATCAATTTAGTTTTATGCCAGGAAGGTCGATCATGGAAGCGATTTATCTATTACAGTGGGTGATGGAGCAATATCGAATGGACCAACAAGACTTGCACTTGATTTTTATTGACTTGGAGAAAGCATATGATAGAGTGCCTAGAGAGATTATGTGAAAAGCTCGTGAGAAGAAAGGGGCCAAGGTTGCATATATTCGAGCTATCCAAGATATGTATGAAAGGGTATCGACTAGTGTTAGGACATATGGTGGAGAAACAAACAATTTTTCCATCACAATTGATTTGCATCAGTGGTCAACCCTAAGCCCCTACCTTTCTACCTTAATTTTAGATGTACTCACGGAACAAATTCAAGAGATAACGCTGAGACACATGCTTTTTGTAGATGATATAGTCCTCCATGGAGAGTCGAGGGAGAAGTTAAATGAGAGGTTAGAAAATAGGAGAAGGGATTTAGAAACACATGGATTTCGTCTAAGCAGAAGTAAGTCAGAGCATATGAAATGTAAGTTCAACAAAAGAAGCAGCGTTTCTAACTTAGAGGTGAAAGTAGGAGACCATATTACCCTTAAGTCACACGGTTTAAATATCTTGGATCTATAATACAAAATGATGGAGAAATAGAAGCAGATGTAAATCATCGTATTCAAGCTGGATGGATGAAATTGAGAAAGGTATCGGGTGTTTTATGTGATGCAAATATACCGCTCAAGTTAAAGGGAAATTTTTATTGAACTGCGGTAAGACCTGCTATTTTGTACGGAACAAAATGTTGGACGGTTAAGAAACAACACGAGAATAAAGTAGGTGTATTGGAGATAAGGATGATGCGATGGATGTATGCTAAGACTCGACATGATAAAATTAAAAATTAAATTATTAGAGAGAGTGTTGGAGTAGCGCCTGTTATAGAGAAGATGGTGAAAAATAGCCTTAGGTGGTTTAGGCATGTATAGAGAAGACATGTGGACTCTGTAGTAAGGAGAGTAGACCAAATGGAGAGAAGACAAACAATTCGAGGAAGAAGAAGGCCCAAAAAATATAAAAGAATTTATCAAGAAAGATCTCAAAATTAATTATTTAGATAGAAGCATATTCCTTAATAGAATATTATGGTGAAAGTTGATCCATGTAGCCGACCCCGCCTAATGGGATAAGTTGTTGTTGTTGTTGATACTTTTTCTGCAATGAATGGAATATCTCGCTTTTCTGAAAGTGATTTCCGATAGAGGTATATTTTACTTCTTTATTTTATACATGCTTATAACTTATGATGCAACTGAACTCTTCCAAGGATCCTGACAATGTTTGACTATAGTAAGCGTTCATGTAGACCAGTGAAGACATTCCTTTCTAGGCCTTTTGCTTTAGTGTTGCAAAGGCAATATCAGTATCTTTCTCATCACTTCTTCATTGATTTTGTTCGCAACAATCGTAGCAAGTTATTGTCCACTATTTTCTGATCTTAAGTTACATTTCCGTTTTCTTTACTGCAAATATTCTAAAGAAGAAATTAGCTTGCAAGAATTTCAGTATAGAAACTTTACTTTCCTAATAAAGTGAGTTATCCATTAACTGACATATTAGCTCTTGTGATATTTCAAATTCATAAATTGCATGACGCATGCTTTCTTAATGATGAGAGATCGTATAAAGTGTCATCATTGTCAAATGAGCGATTTTAGGTGATAAATTAGGATACTATATTTAACATCTATACAATATAATAATACAAGATGAATACTTTGACAAGTTTGTCACTTGACACTTTCTCATGCATTCTTCTATTTATAGTTCTGCTATAAAAGAAAACTTTCTTTTTATATCATTGCTTTATTTTTAAAATTAAATCAAAAATCAACTCAATTATCTCTTTATTTTGGAACACGCTTGGGCCATTGGAGAAATCAACCGTCGCATTCCTTTCCTCTTCCTACCAATAACGTTATACCACATCAACTTCCAACCACAGTTTCTGCAATTAATTTTTTCCGTTTCCCAAATCCTGGTTCATGTATTCATCTATGTATTTTCATGACTCAAACAACCGATTTCAATTTCTTCTCATCAATGGTTTCTTTTTCTCAGGTAACATAATAATTTAGAAGTTTAATTGTTTTTGATTTGTACGAAATCCATATGAATTCATGTAAATAGGACAATTTTATCTCAAATTTCAAACATGTTTCAAACAGATTCAATTTCAAACGGGAAGCGCTGAACACTGAGTGTGTTGGATTTTTTTATAGTTCTTGAGTAGAGTTTTTGGAATTTTTACATTTGATATTTTATTTGTTGGATCAATCCTATATTTTGTTGTCCTATCAAAACTTATTTTGAAAGATTTCCCGTTATTAATTAGATTTTCCAGTGGAGCATGTTTGAGTTTAAATTTGAAGTTTGTGATAATCCTCTTTCATGCTTTCTATTGCTTGAATCATGTTTGGTTATGTGTGAATTGCTTTAGTAATGTTCTCATATTGAATAACTACTCACTAATCACTTAAGTATTTTTCAAATCATGAAACAAGTGTTCCAAAGCTTTAGGCTGTGACTCATGAGTAACTTGCCTATATTCGAATTCTGAGAAATGAAAATGCATGAATTTGTTTTGATTTTAATGATTCTGATTTCATAGAAATATAAAGCTTAAAGCTCTGGTTTCAGTTACCGAATCAAATCTCTTGAGATATGATAAAAATTTCAGATGTAAAACTTTCTAAGGAAATAAGGATTGACAGAGTGACAAAAATTTGCTAGAAGTATAGATATGTATATTAAGACTTCAAAAATTTATGGAATCTTCCTGATAATCTCACTATCCATTACTTTCCTGGATTAAATGCAGAAGGAATGCTAAGTATGAGAAAGCATTAGAGAAATTTGAATTTGTTTGAAGACTAAAGCAAGAACCTGACGGAGCAGCAGCGGCAAATTATAATGTTTCCTGTTGTTAGTCTAAGTTAAAATAGGTATGTGTTTGTTCACTTTACAAATTGTATGTGCTACATTCTCCTACTCTGTCATTTTTTTTTTTGTATTTAGTCTGTGTATAACCTTCTGAATAGATTTAATCCTTCTATAATTTAGTGAATAATTTGGTCTAATATACCATAGGAAATTTATCTCGAGCTTTTATAAGGCCCCTTCATTTGGTGCAAGATAGCTTTGTTTGTCTTTAAATGCTGCAGGTCACATGCTTCACTGTTAATAGTTTGATAGTTGATTTTTGGAAGCTCCATGACCACTTTGAATTCTATTTTTTTGGATGCAGGGTGTTTCAATGACGGTTTTACTGATTATGAGATGGGCAAACATAGATCAACAAGCTATTTTTGTGGTGTTACTTAATGGGGGATGGTTAATCATTGATCAATGCAAAATGATTAGAAGTTTTTGTTGATTATATTCCATCTTATGATTTGGTCATGAGATGGTGTCTTCAATATGCAGAGGAGATTGTGGTCCACTCCTATACATCTGTTTAGATGGACTACATGATTAAAATCCTGAGTTTTCCAGCCATTAACTTCGTCATTATAGGCTGCTAAAGGGATGCTTTCAAGGTAAAAAAAAGTTGAACAATGCAGGTGATTGTTTTCTAGGGGTAGCTTAAATGGTAGGATTTTGAGCTTCTGTTTTCTGCTCAATCACATCGTATTCTTTCTGGTTTTGTTTTGATATGTTTCTAAAAATGTTATTACTTTTGATTCCTCTGTACGCAGATATTCTCACTCTTTCATTTTGCATCATGCCCTGTGACAACTTGCTTCCTCAATTCAACGAATTCTACTAAATTATGAAATTTGTGAAAAATCCTCTGAATTGGTACTCACAGTTTGTGAAATTGACGCTTAGAATTAAGTGACATTTGATAATAAGCTATGAAATTTGTTAAAGTTAAGAAAAGTAGAGGGATGAATTTATAAAAGATTTAATAACGATAATGATAATAATAATAATAATATTATTAATTATATCAATTGTCTAGCGTGTACTTCATACAAAATTTTGTTTGAGATAAATGACTTCTTCTCCTTAAACTAACACTATCTTAATATGTTAGTATATGTGTTGTAAGAAAGATAGTACTCCTCAATATTAAATATTCATTTCAAAGGGCACCTTAGCTTGGCAAATTCATAATCGATTATATAGGTAATCAAATTTATAAAAAAACTTTTTATAAAAATATTATAGACACCAATATATTATATCTTTAAAAAATTTGATATAAAAAACAATTAAAACTTTACCATTTTAAATTATAAATTATAAATAAATCTAAAATATTTTTTTCTCATAAATTTAAACCGGGTCTAGCACGGATATACACATACACAGTAGTATGTGTTATTTAAGCTACTACATCGGTATCTTTAAAATAAATTGTGTTAAAATTTTAATTATAAAAAAAAATGACATGTCATTGAATCATAGTCCCAGAGTGTTTTTTTTTTAAACATTGATTTTCCAGGAAAAAATGCCCCGGTCAAAAGTTAATATTTGAAGTCCACGTGAAGTTTAAAATTACAATTTTTTATGTCCAAGCAAGAAATAGCTAAAAACCAACAACTATCATATAGTTTTGTTTGCTCACAACATCAACACTTAGCCAATACTTCAATTTTTGGTTTCAAATCTTTTCTTTGAATTTTGTATGACAGAGACTGAAATTGTTACACAAGTAACACATCCCAAACAACTAAACAAAGCTCAATATTTTTTAGTCGTACCTCACATCATTATCGTAAGTATATCATTTCAACAGTTGGATCAAATGGTTAAGAACTTGAATGATCCCAAACCAATATCACATGGCATCTAAAATATTAAGGATGTTGATTTGGTCAGAACGAGGATGTGATACTCTAAAAGTTCATATGCACAAGAGAAACCAATTTGAGTCGCCTTTTGAAGGAAAGGGTAAAATTGTATGCAATCATCACCTTAATGCATCAATCATTCTACAATCATTCTTTCTGCGGCGGCATCTATGATGAGATTTTTGATCTAGCAAGGTGTTTTCCCCAACCATCTCCATTTTTGAATCTGCACCTGGTATAATGAAGGATCAAGCTAGTCTCTAAAAAATGCCAATTACAGTGCTAGATTTTATATGCAAATGCAACAAATGACTCAATGACTTGGAAAATATTATTATGCAAAATCTTAACTTTTATCAGACAAGACAAAAAAACTATAGAACCTTTCAGTTCATCCACTTTTGCGCACCTCTTGCCGTTTGTTGGGACAGACATTTACAGCAGAGAATCAGAAATGCTTTATCCGGGAAACACAAAGCTACTAATGCTACTGACAGCAAATCATTTTAAGTGAAAATTGCATTTAGATTCTCATGTCATGCTATAGATCAGTACATGAAGAAGAGTCAAAATCTATCTCACCAGATGGAGCCAGTTAACATGGATCACTTATGGGCCCATGATTCCATATCATTTATAAGTTCAAATATAGACATTTACCTCTAAATCTAAATGGCTTGATCTAAAGGTTTTCAAAGTCTTCTACATACACCTCAAAGCAACCTAAGATGAGATTCTACTTTCCCCCCCTACAACGGAGGCTACCCTATTATTTTTCCTCCTAATTGTTGCGTTGCTAATCCTATTGTATCTTGTGTGACCATTTATCCATCTTAACATTATCATCTTCAGAGCTGAGTTTACATGCTATTAAGCAGTGTCATTCAAATCTTCTAAGAGTGCTGGTTTGTAAACAAGAGAGCAAAATGTCATCAGGCACGAATATAAATTGCAAAAATACAACATTTTGACATTTTTCAGATATTTTCAAAAATATTCACTCTAGTTTTAAAATGCATTTTCAAAAACGTCTATAATGTCGGATGTTTATTTTATCAATAGAAATGGAAACAAGAAACTCTTGAAGCCAAAATGGTCTTTCTCAACCATGGTCACTCACCGCATTAAGGCCTTTTCCTAATTCCAGCCAAAAGTACAAGTTTACAACACTACCAATGTGATTGTGATGTTCCATCAAATCACTTGTGCCACTGCTCACTGAAATGTCAAGCCCCATACCAATACTTTGCTCAGTTTGTATGTCAGGTTCTACCTATAATTATAAGCAATGTGTTATTTTAAAAATACACCCTACTAAGTCTAAGAAGACTTCAGAAATTTGCAAAGAGTTTTTCTTGGCACACTCTCCAACCATCTCGTTGAGCATCTAGGAAGTGAGAATCAATATAATTCGAAATGATAGAAAAATTGGGGCCTTTTATCAAAAGGAGGCTAAACTGATCGACCAAAATATGTTCTAGATTTTCACTCTCTCAGACACTACACAGTTGAAGACAGAATGAAAATTTGTTTTCCCAACAAGTTGTAACGTTAAAGTGCAAAGAGAAAGGTAATCCAACAAGTTGGTCTATAGATTAAATGATCCTTTTTATCCACCAGCCAGAAGCTTCACCAAACTCTAAGGCACGTGGAATGATGGAATTCAAGCATACCCTCTCAACAACACATATTATTAAGCCTAAGTTCGCTTTGTTTGAGGGTAAGTAATAGGGAAATTTTACGAGAGTAAAGTATCCTAAAAAAAAGAGATGTTTGGTATAACAGCAATGAAAAGAGAATTTTATGGGAACTAAATGTTCCCCTCCAAAGTGAGACTAAGGTGATATTTTCCATGTTATTATCCCATGTTCTCTGACATCAGCATCTAATTTCTTCTCTTTGAGCTTAAATAGTAGTGATCAGTGCCAAAAATATTGCTGTTGTTGTTCCAAAACTCAGCTTAGCTTAAAAGGAAGTTGCATTACCGCATAGCAAAATTGAATATGTCCAAAAAACACATTTAAGTGTTTTCAATGGCTCAAAGCATGTCCAAATAAGCGAAATAAACTGCTTGACCCAATGACTGAAAACTTCAGCTTTATAATTGGGCAGAATCCATTTAAAATGAAACAATTTACAGATCCAACCAAAGGTGTGATACGATTAATAGATCATGGAATATTGTGCCAAAATCATTCGTAAATGAACTGAACTCTTGAAGCTAACGCCTTGGACAAACTAAGGAATACCACAGAAGCAAAAGCCCCAAGTTGTTGATTACACACACTTGTGAGACATGACGATAAATTATTTTCAACTTATTTTCAATTCATAATAGCTTATGAAAGCAACTTATAACCCATGAAAGCAGTTTGATCTTGTTATAGAAATGATTTATACACGAGCACATATATGATAAGAGTTGTTCATCCAAACATGAGGCAAATGTTAAATCATGGATACCAGTAAACCCTAGTAGACAAAGATGGGCTGAAAGGAAATAAAGATCAAGCAAAAAGATTAAATATTTGGAGCAATCAACAGCAAAAGAAACAAAATTTGATGACAAATTAGAAAATTTACCTCCTCCGAGCTGGTTTCCCCAAAACAAGACTCTATGATCATCCTCTTCCTCATCAAACTCATCCCCATACCCAAATTCAGCATCCCCGCGATACCCTGGTTCACTCCCATACCCAGATTCATTTCCATTGGCATCAGAACACCCATTCACCCCAAACCCAACCCCGACATTCTCCTTCTCCTTCTCCTTCTCTCCACTCCCACACTCCCTGGAATTCTTAGCTTCACTCACATCAGAAGCCCAATTCGCATCCCCATTCCCAAAAAGCTCCCCACTCGAATCAGTCCCCATAGCCACCGGAAAATCAGAGCAAGTTCCATAAGCAGCAGAAGCCCCAACGGAACAGCAACGTCGCGTAGCACTCCGCTCGCTACTCCGGCCGGAAACAGATCTGGAACCACGACGGCGTCGCTTGCGGGCAACGAGACGGTAGCTCCCGGTTCGGTTGATTGGTCTGTTGTCGTCATCGGCGAGGGTTAGTTTGGAGAGGTCGAGGGAAAAGGAAGTGGTGGTTCGGTCGGAGAGACAGGGGCGTTTGTTGTTGTGGGAGGTGTCTTTTTTTTGGGGGAGGTGGAAGGGCTTCCAGTTACGGAGGTGTAAGACGCACGAGTCAATGGAGGGTTTGTGAGACATGGATTGAGTCATGGGATTCTAGAATGATCGATTTGGGTTGACTGGTTCTGAGTTTAATCAATCAGATCACGGAAGTTAGAGAGAAAGATAGGTTCACGGAATTTTGTAGAAAGTTATGTATAATATTGTTCCTATAATAAATTGTAGAAAAGATTTAAAAGAGATAATAAATGGATTTCTATAATTTTTTTCATATATAAAAATATTTTAATCAATCGTATAATTATTTTTATATATAAATATTTTTGTTTTAAAATTATTTATAAAAATATTTAAATCAATATTAAATTTGTTCTCGTTATTATTTAATATTTAAATCAATTTTGTATTAGTATTGTATCTATCATATCAGTATCCGTGTTCGCACGGGTAGTGATAGATATGTTAAGTTGTCGTCAGATATTTACAAATTTGAAGGAAAAAAATAAAGCATTATGATTAAATAAAGAAAAATCAAATAAATTATTAATTATTCTTACACTAAAATGATTTATTTTTCTAAAATATATAATAAATCAGTTTCTATAAGACTTAATAATGGTGTATGAAATCTCTAAGTTGTTGCTTTTGATTTGACATTTGAGTTGTTTGTAATTAATGTAAGTCTAAGGCCTTCAAGGTAACATCACTAGGCTTCCATCATTGCAATTTTATCAAAACATCACCACTAACCAAGAAATCTTCATCACCAACAATTCAAAAACAATCATGCACAATTAAAACACAAACAATATATCTCGTTGTCCAAAATTTGCCTTGTTAAACCTAAACCATGTTGCTATCCATAAACCTATAGTCTTGCATCAAAAAAAGAGAGATTAAAGATGTGCACAATAATTCAAAACAGTCCAAAAACTTATCAAACCAGTCCTACTACTGCTATGCTACATAAATCTGCCCTAAAGCCCTTCAAAACCAGCCTAAATACCATGCTTTCAAAGTAGTCCTTGAAGCCATACATCATCTGCAAAATAATTCAAAACCATGTCAAAAATCAGCCCTCATACTGTCAAACCTGCACAAAATCAGCCGGAAATTTGTGCCAAAAAAACCCTTCAAAACAGTCCAAAGGAACCTGCTGCCAGTGGTGTCCAAACAACCTGCATACATAGAAAAACCTACATCATACAAAGCTTGCATCATAACAGTCCGACAATTGCACAAATTCAGCAAAAAAATAAAATGCATCAAGAAGGAATTGAAACAGTATGCTAAAATAGTTCAAATCTCACCAATCTCCCCACCCAAAAAAAAAACCTTATGTAACACTATAAAAGCACCCCCTATGTTCCTATAATGACACCAGGATACACAACAAGAATCATAGAAGTAAAATCACAAAAAAAATATACACCATTGTAATACGGTGGGAGAACTGACTTTGGGATTTTGCTTTTATGTTCGCAAATATTCGGTTTAGCAAGAGTCGCCACCGACTTTTTATTTTATCCAATGGAAAGGTCAAAAAGCACAGGAAAGACCTTTGAGATGTTTTCGTGGGTTCGGGGGGTAGATTATGAAAAGGGAAGGTGCTAGCACCCTTTTCATCCATGGTTATCCATGGGCTCTTAGTTACTTGTTTTAGATCACTTGCCTTTGCTTTTCGATTGCTTGAAATTGTGCTTTGTGTGTGTGGTTTTGAAAATGTTTTGAAAAAGATGCCTTGTCTAGGCAACCTTTGTAACAATTCTTATTTGAATGTTTTACAAAGGTGTTTGTCTTTTTGAAAAGATGTTTCAATGTTTTTGAAAGTTTATTTTGGAATTGTGTTGTGGAGTGTGTTTTGAAAAATGGCAAGGATGTTTTGCAAGATTTTTGATCAAGTAACTAAGAGTTGTCTACCCTATTTTACTCAAAGATTTTTCTTATGTTTTTAACCCTTTTAACAGTATTGTTTCACCATTGTATTTGGTGAACAACCTTGTGTTAGGATGTTGAACGGGACGTTTATATAGTCATCGAAGGCAACATATGTGATGTTTTAGCAATGTCGTTTTAGGGACTAAATCGTTTACCAAAGGCAACATCGAGGGTCATCGAGGGACTACGATCTTTTATCGAGGGTCTTTGCTAAAACTCCCATGCTCGAGGGACATGACTATTTTCCGAGGCAACAAGTGAGATTACCCTAAGGGTGCATGTGTTCAAAGTGTGTTTTATTGCATGCATTTGTCTTTGATTTTTAGGTTGTCTACTTGTTGGTTTTATCTTTCCATACACACCTATTTACTAGCATTTGTACAACAGTAATAAAAAGTGTAAAAAATAAATCTTACACTATTACAACCATATTGAAAGGCAAGAAAATATAAAGGAAAAAGAAAAATATAAAAAAACAAGGAAAATGAGCTTTTCGACCCAGGCAGCAGCATCCTTCGATTTGCATTCTGCTGGCCTCCTTCGATTTGGGCAGGAGCAGCCTTCGATTTGCATTTTGTTGGCCTTCTTTGATTGGGGTCAGCAACAGTGAAGTCACGTCTTTCGATTAGGCTTTGGCACCAGTCAGGTCATGTACTTCGATTGGGCTTTGGCACCAGTCAGGTCATGTACTTCGATTGGGCAAAGACAGCAGCAAGTTGTACCCTTCGACTGGGGTCTGGAAGTCAGTGAGGGAATGCCTTTCGATTAGGGGCTGGAAGTCAGCATGGTTTTCCTCCTGGTTGTCTCTTTCGTTTGACCTGGAGAAAGAGGGTAGAAGCCAGAAGCTTCTTTCCCTATTTCCTGTTTCATGTTTCTTTCATTTCAAGCATTAAATGATAACATGGCCTGAGGCCATACTAGTATTTATCTTTCAAACAGTTTAATAACTAAAGCTAGTTCAGGCAAACAGCAAGCAAAAACGAAAGGGTTTAGCTCTGAAAACATGTTAAAAGAGTGGAAACGAAAAGAACAGTGGTATGTACATATTTCAAACGAACGTAAAGATTATTTACATGTTATGTCATGAAACGAAAAGTTCAAAGGTAAGAATAACTTACCTTGCTTCAGGACTTGACTGGATGTGGGACCTTGAGTGGAGGCCCAAGGTTCTGGATTTGACAGAGGGGGACAACAGTTGTGCTTGGACTGCTGGATTCGAAGGAAGGAAAGAAACAAGTCTTATGTTTCTTTCCAAACTGGATTCAAAGGATACTGAAGAATACTTGTTCTTTAGAATTGAAGGAAATAAATTTTGGGTTTGTTCTCACAAGTGTTGAAGGGACTTGAGAGATTTGTTGTGTTTGAGAAAACTTTGGGTGATTCGTTCCACTGGCCAAAATGTCCTCCTTTAGCTTTGCATAAATTCTTCTATTTATAGAGAAAAAGAATGGATATGTTTGAAAACAGCCAGCCTTGCAAAATAATAAAATACTGTAACGTGACAGTACAAGTGGGGGGCCTCCTGGCAGTAGCAGCAGTGGGGTGCAGGAGATGTGACTTATGCCTATGACATTGCTTGTGCTCAGACCAAATTCAGTTTGAAAGTTGCTTTTGTGATAAAGTACTCTCTGTTTGAAGAAAAAGTATGTAGCCTTTAACCCAGAACAGTAGTATCCAGAAGGTAAAGTTTAAAACCTTTGTACAAGCTTCTGACTATATAAAGATTTGGACGCAACACAGCCTGGCAAACGAGATTTGGTCTTGAGCAAGAGTGAGATTGAAGCACACCTGTTTGAAGGAAGATTTTGCCTCAGTCGAAGCTTGTGGTCGAAACAAGCTAACTCGAAGGAAGCTATTGCCCAATCGAAAGCTAATGCTCGAAGGAAGCATATTGCCCAATCGAAAGCTCATGCTCGAAGGAAGCATATTGCCCAATCGAAGCCTGGGTCGAAGCAAACATATTTCCCAATCGAAATTCCGTGTTCGAAGGAGGCTTAGAGTTCAACATGAAGGACATATCCAAGTTGCATTCGAAGGAGGATCTTGCTCCACTGAAGTTTTCATCCAGGCACACGGAAGGTGAGTGCCCAAACGAAGACTTACCTTGCAGGGGGTACATGTGGCCAGTAGGTCATGACCTTCGATTGCAAACATGCAGGTAGCAAAAGACACAAACGAAACCTGCAACAAGAAGTTACATGCCCAGGCGAAAGAGGCACGCTAGCAGCCACTTTGAGAAATCGAAAGAAGCCAAGAGTCAATCGAAGGATGCTGATCGAAAGAGTCCTAAAGGCCAATCGAAAGAGCTGAAACGAAGAACACTTGTATTTCTCCAATTTTTGTCAAAATAATATTTTTATCTATTTTCTCTATTTTTGACAGTTTCCAAAGTACTTGTGCAAGCTTGAACCTTGAGAATCCTTGTGAGAAAGGCCTTGATAATTGAGAGGGAAAATTTTGGGGTACAACAGTTGCCCCTGTTCAATTTTCTTAAACCTGAGGATATAGATTGGCTTTCGAGCCTTTCGTGATCCGAAGGTGGAAGATAATTGAACACTAGAGTGCCGAAAAATTTGTACTCGTACGGTGTAGTATCAGCATTGTGATGTCGGGAATGGGCTTACAGATTCCATTTGGAGATTGTTGGTAGGAGGATGGGCTTATAGATGCCATCTGCAGGAGTGTGACAGAATCTTGTCGGGGATGGGCTTAAAGATGTCATCTGGAAATGATTGCTACTCCAAATAGATGATGAAGGAATCTTGGACGATTACTACCTCAGTAGGATGATGAAGGGATCTTGGATGACTACAACCTCAGCATGATGATGAAGGAATCTTGGATGACTACAACCTCAGCAGGATGATGAAGGAATCTTGGATGACTACAACCTCAGCAGGATGATGAAGGAATCTTGGACGACTACAACCTCAGCAGGATGATGAAGGAATCTTGGATGACTACAACCTCAGCAGGATGATGAAGGAATCTTGGACGACTACAACCTCAACAGGATGATGAAGGAATCTTGGACGACTACAACCTCAGCAGGATGATGAAGGAATCTTGGACGACTACAACCTCAGCAGGATAATGAAGGAATCTTGGAGGACTAAAACCTCAGTAGGATGATAAAGAAATCTTGGACGACT